ACCTTAATGAATGATCAGAGATGGCTGTCATGAAAGCTTTAGATATAATAGCAAAAAAGAAAAAAGAAAAACAAGACAACAATTCAAATATTCAATATTAAGAATTTTAAAAAAATAAACAGTGGCACAAAAATAAAGCAACATTCCTTAAAAGTGTATCTATAAAATATTTATTGAATGCTTACCATGCATAGGCATACCCCTAAGTACTGGATACAAAGATCATCCTGGTAATTTATTGCTACTAGAGGCCCAGTGCACGAGTCTGTGCATGGTGGGGTTTGGCCGGCCCACCCCAATCGGGGTGGGGGGCAGTCGGGGACAGGGCCAGCTAGGGGGAGGAGCCGGGGGTGGTTGGCAGGCCAGCCCTACCCCCTTGTCGAACTCCTGGTCAAGGGGACAATTTGCCTATTAGCCTTTTATTATATAATAATTAGTTCATTTGACTGTCAACCTGGAGCTTAGCTGATGCTGAGGGATAGGAATATTGGTTCCTTTCTATGTGGGCCTCTTCACATCACATGGTCTTCCTCACAGCATGGTAGCTGGGTAAAAAAAAAAAAATCTGTCTCAACAGAGAGACAGCTATAGCCTCAGAAGTCACATAGAGTCACTCTGTCACACTTTAATCGCCGAGGCAATCACTGAAGCCAGCCCGGGTTCATGTTGGAAGATCAGACTCCAGCTCTGAATAGGAAAGTATCAAAGTTCTGGAATACAGTGTGAGAGAGAGAAAATACAGCTATACTAAAATTCACAGTGGGTTGGAAGTGATGAACTTAGATACATAGATCTGGAGTTCAAGAGAAAGACTTGAAGTAAATGATACAGTTTGGGAGATCATGATTACATAGGCGGTAATTAAAGCCCCAGGGATGGCCATTTTAAGTGGAATTGCGTTTAAAGTAAAGAGGGGAGTTTTAAGGCTAACCACCTTTAAAGGAGCAGAGGGAAAGAATATTCAAAGACACTAAGAAATATCTAGAGAGAGTGAACGAAGACAAGAGCATGGTGTTAAGAGAGCAAGGGAAGGAAGCATCTGAGAGAAGTGTCCAAAGTGTCAAAGACAACAAAGGATTCCAGTAAGATAGGAGCTAAACTGTAAGATTTAGGTTGTACTTGATCATTAGCAAAATTGATGAGAGTGGTTTTGGTGGCTGGAAAGTAGAGCATCCAGATGAATTTGAAACAGTGTAAGTGAAAAACTCCTTTAGTGACTGGGAAGGGGTAAAAAGAGGTAGGAAGCATAGGGTCGAGAAAGTTCTATGTTTCATAAAATAAGAAGGAGTTCAGCTTGTTTGAAAGCATTTTGGGAATGCATTTAGGCAAGAGGAAAATTGAAGATACAGGAGAAAGGAAAGGGCACGGGGTGAAGCAGTGGCCTGCGTCCTTCCTTTCCTGCTTTGGTGGCCATGTCAGACTCAGCACCTTGCTCTAATGCGCACAACTTGAGACGCTGAGCTAAGACACTGCCATTCGATTTGTATGTGACATGGGGTGATAAACTGTCACAAACTGCATAACAATTTCACTGGTTTGGCATCTGGAATGTAGACTCTGGGATGAAACTGGGTGACTACTTGATGAGAAGACATAGTTAATTCATTGACACCATCAAGTAAAGATGAATGGATTATGACCATGTGTTTATAGTATATGTTTAGTTACATAATGCAGGACCCAAGTGATTTCATTAGTAAAGCAGAATACAGAATATGCAATGAAACTTGGTTAGTGTTTATATCTCAAAACATGTATCTACCTAATAGGATTGCAACTATTTAGTGACTCAGTGTTCTCTTGTTTATTTTATTTAGCCATCTATATAAGATTCAGTTTGTTCCCTTTTATGTATACTGAACACAGTGATATTCAGCTTAGCTTACTCTAATTAATTGATGTATGCATATATAGTTTAAGTTCCATTGTTTGCATAATTATTTGTATGACAAACATCAATAGATGTCATCAGACATAACTAAGTAAATTTTGACTTGAGTGTTTGCAAAGCTAAATGGTAATACTAAATATGGAAATAATTATATTTTAAAATTTAATCTATTGGACTAAATAAAATAGTTTCCAGGATAGCACACTGAGATAATAACTTTGAGCATTTGACTGACAATGCATTCACACACATAGGAAACCCAATAATCCTCATATGCCATGCATATAATCTAGGTAAAATAGCCCAAGAAAAAGTTGAATAGAATATTATTAACATTTCTGGACATTTGCAAAGTGAAAAGAAAAGTTGAGTGACATAATGTAGCCCGAAGCAAAGTTATTAATCTAATATTTAGTACAGTTTCAAAATTAGTTTATTAAAGGCAAAATAACAGATGGCTATGAAAAGGAGAAGAGATACATATTTATGATGATGCTTATGAATGAAAGTAGATAGAAGATGTTTAAATATCAAAAACATTACGTTTGGTCAGTATCAAACACAATAAATTAAAATAAGTTAAATAGTACAGCGAGCACCAAAGTAGTGGAAAGTCATAATGAAGTCTGAAAACAGTATAGTAGGAACAAACAGTAGAGGGGTTTTGTGCAGGAAACATTGTTTCTGACCTTTTTTCTGAAGTGTAATATTTCTTGGACATAAAATTTTATGTTCGCTCAATATTTGAAATACATAAAATCGGAAGGGGTCCAGGCTTGCCCACCCACCCCCTTCTCACCAAAGGTTCTCATGCAAAGCTATGCAAGTCCCCCTAGAGAATTTGTGGAGTTCCTAAAAACTCACTGTTTGGAAACCAATATTTGACAAAGGTAAGTCCCAAAACAGAAGGGATTATGCAACTGCTCATTATATGCATGAATAACTTAAAGTGCATGACTTGTAAGTCCTGCATGTTTACATTTTCTTGAAAATGTAATAAAATCTGTGTGTAATTTTAGCACCAAATAGAAAGTCAGCACCTTAGATATGATTTCTAAAGCTCTTCAACTTTATTTTTCTCAGTAAAGTAAAATAAAAATTAATTGAAGTAGATTACTTGCAATGTAAAGATTGAAAGTGAACCCCCAATTTCCATGAAAAATCAAGAGGACAGAAAAAATATGACAGCACAAAGGAGTACCTCCAGGTTATGCTAAATGTGCAGCACTCACAGAAATACATCCAAAGTCTTGATGAAACATTCACAAGGTTAAGGTCTGATCCAGCAGCTTGATTAATCAGGTCATTTAAGGTATAAAAGTAAATTCAGTTGAAACCCAAAATGTTACAAAATAATGTTTTTTTATATCTTGCAAGAAAATGACAGTCAGTCATTGTCCCAGGACTAACTTTCCAGGTTGGTCAATCTATTCAGGTGATCAAATCCTAGTTCCTGGGTGAGTCTAGAACATATACAGTATTTCTCAGAGCACATCATCTAAAGAAGACCAACAGTGTTCATTTGTTGTAATTGCTACCTTCTTATGTACAATTACATTGCTTAAACTCTATTCTCAATTTCAAGAGATACAATAAACAAGGACAAAAGAAACACCTCCATGTTTCATTAACTTATTTAATTATGCTTCATAATTTCCAAAAACCCAGATATTGTGGAATATAGATATAAATGTTAGTAGGCAAATTAGTTTTCTAAGAGCCTATTATTACTTTAACAAAGCAAAATCTAATTTCTTTGTATCACTATGAACTACTGCTAAGATAAATACATCTGGACTATCCATACTCTGGGTTTCTTAATGAGCTTAGCAATTACAATCAGTAACCAAAATCAGAAAACAGAAAGGTTTTATAAAGCTAACAACTTCTTTAACTAGCTAAATAAGCCAAGGAGAAATAGGACCTTTAGCCATGTGATAAACTAGAAGAATTTGAAATTCAGGAAGTCTCAATTTATTTATAAACTAGAGGCCCAATGCACAAAATTCTTGCAAAGACCTTGGTCCCTGCCCCAGCCCGCTGCCGCCACCACGGCCCCAACCCACTGCGGCTTTGTCTGGAAGGAAGGATGTCTGGAAGGATGTTGGTCTAATTAGCATATTATGCTTTTATTATTATAGATGGGGAAAGAGTATCTCTAATGTAGGTTTGTATCCTTTATAATATAAACTAGAAAAAGTCACCCAAGTTTGAACTAGAAATCAGTCATGTCAATAAGGTGATCATATATGATGGGGCAAGAATCTCGAGGACAATTTTCTTCTCTTTATAAGTTTGCCCCATTGTCTTTGCAACAACTCGGGGGAATGGAAAGAAAGGCACGGTGAGCCTGGGCACCTGCTTACCTCAGGTTCTCTTCTTTCAGGAGAGCGATGTTCTTCTGGGTGTGGAATTAACTGTCTTTGCATGTGGCCTACCTACAGGCTGCACAAGTTGCCACAACTCTGCTAAGCATCTTGCATATCCCCCAACAATGACTTTCCAGACTGCATAATTTTTTATTTTCAAGCAAGATTCAAGAGAACTCTAAGGTTGTGATAAAAAATGAAACTGCCACTGCAAAAAAAAAATTAATGATTTAGGCCGAGTAACAAATGCAGTCCAATTCAAACTAGACAAGATAAGCATATGGCTTACAACGGATGGCACTCTGGTTATTTCAATGTTCCTCTAAATATACTTAAACATTTTCGAAGTATGATATTATATTTTTACATGTAAGAGAAACATATGGAGAAAAATTTAGATTTTTTTCACACTTAGAGTCTCTCACTTAGGATTTGCTGCCTTATCCTGGAATACCATAGATTACATCATTTTAGTTAAACTTTAAGTTAAATCAGCTTCTTGGGAAAGGAAGCATATAGCTCCAAGTTATCTCACTCAATGCAGGATTTTGAATTCAAGTTCAAGAATTCATTAATTGATTGTACAGTTGATGGCACACTTCACTTGTAACCTTTTCTTATATTCCTGACATGCCAATAATTCAGAGATTTCTTTTTCATTTCATCAACTGTAGATGTGGAAGTTAACAATTTTAGAGTGTACTAATGGTTTGTATTCTTTTTTTTTTCTTTCTTTTCAGTCTGTTCCCAGTATTCTAGAGGAGTATTTGCCATTTTTGGACTCTATGATAAGAGGTCAGTACACACCTTGACCTCATTCTGCAGCGCCTTACACATCTCCCTCATCACACCAAGTTTCCCTACCGAGGGGGAGAGCCAGTTTGTGTTGCAGCTGAGGCCTTCCTTGCGAGGAGCACTCTTAAGTCTGCTGGATCATTATGAATGGAACTGTTTTGTCTTCCTGTATGACACAGACAGGGGTAAGTCGCGATTCCATATCTACATAAGTAGAACTCTCATTTCAACCTGAAATGACCTTGTATACTTGTGTGATTTAGCAAAATATTTTAATCCCTAATATGGCTAAAATTAGAAAGTGGTCAATGTGTACTGTCAGTATTTTTACCTTGACTCTCGAGGAAATCCTCTAATTAAATAAGCTTTAAATTCACAAGGTTACTCATGAGCAAACCACGCTTGGTTACATAGTTGAAATTAAGAGAAATTATTATTTTTAACAATTCTGAAGTCATATTTCAGGTACCATTAAGAAAATAAGTCTTTTATCTCAAATACAAATAACTTAATGTTTTGGAACATCTTAAAATAGTATCATACTGAGCCATGGCTTTGAGTTTGAAATGCGAGACTTTACATGAGGAATTGGAGGATCATGACAATGATAATGGATCTGGAAGTAAGGCTTCTCTTGCGGGCACCTTTCACTTTGCCTTTAGCTATCAGGCTGCCACTATTAGTAAATGATATTATATGTGTTGGAGGAACAAGGCGGATCACTAACATTAAATTATTGACAATCCATACATGTTTGTACAAAGTATTTTAATTTTTTTAGTTAGAGACACAGCTTAAGGAGTTGTTGTTGTTTTCAATTCTGTTTTTAATTTAGTGACTAGAATCATAGCAACATGCTATATTTCAAAATAAACATCAGGGGACCACCTGTGGGGTTTTGTCATTGGTCCTTTTTCCTTAAAGTGTAAGATTTATGAGAAGATAAGAAGTTAGAATAAAAGTTGAAACAGGCAACATGTTAAGAACATCCTTGAATAGAATTCCATCTGTGAAATGAGTAAAACAATAAACATAAAAGCCATAACAAGCAAGGTAAACCTCTTGAAGATATAATTACCTTCAAAGGTTCAAAGCATGATTTTCTATTTCAGATATGAAAGCTCAGTGAAGGAATTTATCTTTCTCATTAAAAATTCACATTTTTAATCAGGTGGGGACAGTATGTCAGATGAGATGCCTCATCAACATTTCTCTTAGCACATTACTTATATTGGCATTCATGGTACATTTTCCTTTCTGAGACAAGCTCAGAAAAGCTATACTATCAATGTATTTTCTGCATGGGTAGAGCATACTCTAATTCACAATTGGAAATATGGGAATCTACCTACGTTTTATGACATCATTTTCCAATAACTAACCATCTAAAACAACCAAGATTTCTTTCCGTAGGTGAATGGCTAATTAAACTGTGGTATGTTCAGACAAGAGATTATTATTCAGAGCTAAAAAGTAATGAGCTACCAAGCAATTAAAAGGCAGGGAGGAAACTTAAACACATGGTATTCAGTGAAAGAAGACAATTAGAAAAGGCTACATACTGTATGATTCCAACTATACGACATTCTAAGAAAAGCAAAACTATGGAGACAGTAAGAGTCCGTGGTTTCCAGGGGTTAAGAGGAAGCAGGAGTGAATAGGAGGAGCACAGAGGATTTTTAGGGCAGTGAAACTGCCCTCCGTGACACTCTAATGGGGGACACATGTTGTTACACATTTGTCCAAAAGCACAGAATGGACAACAGCAAGAGTGAGCCCTGATGTAAAAGAGGGACTTTGGGTGATAATGATGTGTTAATGTAGGTTTATCAATTGTAAAATATGAATGTCAAATGCAAAAAAAAAAAAATACACTTCAATAAAATCAATTTAAAATGTTTTAAAAAATTGAATCCTAATGTCAAGAAATATGTACGAGGATGTGGATGAGATGTTTCCTCCTGTGGTTCGTTATGACACAGCTCAGTTTCGCACTTTGGGCAGAAGTTCCTTATTTGATGGCATCTTGCTCTCATAGGTCTCATAGCAATGCTAGTGACCTGTGTCTCACTTTTCTTTTTGCCCCTGTGTCAACCAATCTCTAGCAAGGAGAGGGTGTAGGCATTTGTGCATCAGACTCCCCACCAAACAGAGATTAAACGTGATTTGTTGCTTTTGCACCAGTTTATAATTTCCAGGATCCTCACTCTTGCATAGCAAGTGAGGTGCTCAGCCTTGAGCCACCTCCCATTGCCTCTCACCATGGTATCTCTCTAGTGCAGGTAGCTGTACATATTGGTTATTTAAAGACTCTTTCTCTTGGTAAAATTTCATCCTTCAAAGGCTGAAGACCATCAGTGTAAAGCACTGTTTCTTTTAATAGGACATCTTGTAACCTTTAACCACTTACTGGCTTGCGGCACAGGATGACAACTTTCTTGTTGTCATCACCCTAGAATTTTACTGTTTTACTTCTAACCTTCTAAATTCAAGTCACTCTAGAATTTCATAGTTCTCTCCAATAGTTGCTTCAGGATGAATAACAAGTCCTCTGTATTACAGTAACCCAGCCCAACTTTAAAATAGACACCTTTACTTCAAGCGGTAATTGTCTGAATGAAAAATAACATGTCAGAAAAAGGGCCATATTTTGAGCTCAGATGCTCACTCTGCCCTCTTACCACCATGCTTCCCATATTCTGGGGTTTAATTGGGTCCTTGCAAAGGGCAAGAGTAATTGTTCTCTTTGGAAATTGTTGTGCTCATTTTATAAGTTTAGGATCTCAGCCCAATTTATTCCCACTTTAGATATTATGCTGAATTATGCATCACTATAACCAAGGGAGGTATGAACCTCAGTTATGAGCATATGATTAACTTCTATCATAACATAGTTGGCTAAAAGCAATCCATATTTTCACATCATGAAAAAAAAAAAGAATACACATCAACATTAATGATCAGAACATTTTCTAATTAATGCACAAAACCAAGTGTAACAAAATAAGATAATATGGAACATTTTTGATATTTTAATCCTCTACTGCTACCATAAAGTGCTTATCTAAACATTTTTTCCCATTATAAGTAACTGCCTTAATTATGATCCTGAATTTCTCCACAAACTTCAGTGAAATATGACATTCTGATGTATCATAAATCCTTAATTTGGAATTAGTTATTTCATTGACCCACTCAATTATTCCTGAAATCTTAATTAGTGTAGTGATATAAATGAACTCTTAAGATACAAGAGCTTCACCGTCATAAATTAAAGTCATTTTCATGTTGAATTACATTAAGAAAAATAATGATATTTTATTTTCTATGCTATAAGTCCCATGTTCTAGTCCTGGTCTGCTATTGTGGAGCTGTGTGGTACTGCCTATATTTTTCTCCACGTTGGAAGGAAAGGAAGGAAGGAAGGAAGGAAGGAAGGAAGGAAGGAAGGAAGGAAGGAAGGAAGGAAGGAAGGGAGGAAGGAAAAGGAAGGAGGGAGGGAGGGAGGGAGGGAGGGAGGGAGGGAGGGGGGGAGGGAGGGAGGGAGGGAGAGGAAAGGAAAGGAAAGGAAGAAGGAAGAAAGGAAAGAAAGGGGAGGATTTTCTTATTCCAATAATCAGAGTCATCCTTTTATTAAGACACTCTGGCAACTCTACACCTAGTTAGCTCCCTTCTATCCTTGCCCATCAGGCAAGGCCAGGCCAAGTGCCATTCTAAGAAAAATAATCATGTTCTATTTTCTCAGTATAGTTATCAATCTGCCTGGCTTATCACTATTTCCATTTATCTTCATATTTTTAAACATGTTTTATGACAGATTTGTTACAGCAGATACTGTCATACTTTTAAGAATGCTTAAAATGTAGAATATGTGAAAACAATTCAAAGCAATTGGCACGATGATGAAAAAAGTTTGCAAATTACTGAAGGTTTAAAAGTAAAACTAAATTTAATCAATAGTTTTTATCTTACATTTTAGACTCTAAATAAATCCAACATTTTTTTAAGCATAAATGTTAGAAGGGTGACCAGCAAGGGAAGCCAGGAAAATCATCTGCTCTGCAGTAAAAAATGAGTTACTTGTATGCATAGAGGGTTTGTCATAGGAATATCAGTAGAAGTGCTTCTGATTATGTCACATGTTTATGCGTACTATTCTTCTGTGGTGGCTTTCTCTTATCAGTAAAGAAATTCTAGTAGTTTGTACCAATTCTATTTTTAATTTAAGTTCTTTATTGTTTAATGTATTACATAAATCTCCTTTTCCCCTCATTGACCTCTCCCAGCCGCCCCCACCCCCCAGCACATTCCCTCACCCCCCTACACCCTGCTGTCTGTGTCCATTGGTTATGCTCATATGAATGCATACAAGTCCTTTGGTTGATCTCTTACTCCCTCACCCCCCGCCTTCCCTCATAGGTTGAACAGTCTATTTGATGCTTCGATAACTCTGGTTCAGTTTTTGTTCATCAGTTCATGTTGTTAATTATATTCCACAAATGAGTGAGATCATGTGATATTTATCTTTCTTTGACTGGCTTATTTCACTTAGCATAATGCTCTCCAGTTCCATCCGTGCTGTTGCAAATGGTAGGAATTCCTTTGTGTAGATGTACCACACAGTTTTTTAACCCACTCATCTGCTGATGGGCATTTAGGCTGTTTCCAAATCTTAGCTATTGTAAATTGTGTTACTATGAACATAGGGGTGCATATATTCTTTCTGATTGGTGTTTCTGTTTTCTTGGGATATATTCCTAAAAGTGGGACCACTGACTCAAATGGGAGTTCCATTTTTAGTCTTTTGAGGAAACTCCATACTGTCTTCCATAGTGGCTGCACCAGTCTGCATTCCCACCAGCAGTGCACGAGGGTTACTTTTTCTCCACATCCTTGCCAGCACTTGCCATTTGTTAATTTGTTGATGATAGCCATTCTGACAGGTGTGAGATGGTACCTCATTGTCATTTTGATTTGCATCTCTCAGATGATTAATGACTTTGAGCATGTTTTTATATGTCTCTTGGCCTTCCTTATGTCCTCTTCTGCAAAGTGTCTATTTAGATCCTTTGGCCATTTTTGATTGGGTTGTTTATCTTCCTTTTGTTAAGCTGTAATATTTCCCTGTAAAAGTTGTAAGATTAAACCCTTATGGGTGATAACATTGGCAAATATGTTCTCCCAT